ATTCAAGAGCTTGGAGAACCCTTATCTATGAGAACTCCAGTACCGACTTGGGTTCAATACCAAGATGTATAGAAATAAAACGAACACCCTGGATGATAATTTGGTTCTTTGATATAAGATAAAACTGTTGGTTTTTCAGCAAATTTGTCCTGCCGAGGGTGCTCTTACTTGGTAGTGAACATCATAGCTGCCTGTGAACGTAGCGATGGTACTGTAGTTCGACATTCGGCTTTAACTGCGATTATTGGACTGCGTGGTAAATGGGCAGCTGATGTCTACAATGGCCTTCATAAGAATATTGGGTCAATATTATCTTGTGAATATTTTGTTTCGTGTACTACTGACAATGCCAGTGTTATGGCCTCGTTGAAGCGAACACTTGTGGGGGTGATGACTATGCACTTTATACTGAGGCATCGGATGTTTTTGTCATATTCTGATTCTTGTTTGGGGCAGTAAGGTAAGCGGACTTGGACCAACAAGCACTGTCCAAATCCTGGGAGACAGATATGGAGAATCATGGGATGAAGTTAATTGAAATAAGGAAGTTGGGGCTGAGACTTCCAAAGAAACAACTAATGTAGTGTTGGCACTTTCTGAAATGCTGAATGAATGTCTCTGTGCAGATTTGAAAGCTACTCCAGAGAAGAATAACAAGCTCTGTTGGATGTTAAGTCATTCTCATGAAGCCAATGAAGTTATCCGAGCCTTTAAAGAAGAACACGATGTTCCGAGGGTTCAACGTTGTTGCAAAAAAGATGGAACTCTTTGCTCATTCACTTGATAGTTTTGTTAAGAACAGAGTGGTAGTGGACAAACTACACGATCAGCTTGAAAAGTTCCATAAGTCTTCCACAGAGGAGTACTGTCAAATGACAACATTCACGAGGATTATGTAAATGTTTATCGCAATGACTGAAAAAAAAAACATTTTGAGGAAAAAGGGTTTACTTTATGTGAGTGTATTGTCGATTTTTAGGGCGTTGCTGTACAGTTAGCTGAGATTTGTCAGAAGCCAGCTGAAACGTCCAATAAACGGCTCAATGAAGCCATTGAATTGGGATTTGAAGAGGCAAAAGTTATCTCAAAGAGATTGTTGACAA